TTTGCGTTGGTGATGCCCTTCATCGTGGGAAGTACGGGGGAACTATATACCAGCGCAAACTGCTCGCGTGCCTACTTTCCCTTCTCAGACAGCCTTGCTTGCGCATCCAATCAAACGTTGCTGTTCCTAGCACAGACGCAGGCTTGACATCACACCGGGGGGATTACGTCTGACAGCAGACTCCGCCTTGCGCCCCAGCCAACATCGGGCCGTTGTCGGTTATCACGGGTGGAGGTTTGCCATGGGGTAGATGGGGATCAAGGCCTTGTCGCCAGAAGTCCAAGCATGGAGTTAGATGGCGCGCCAAGCCTCCGTCGCTTCCTAGAAGCTTGGCGAGTGAGGTTATTGGGCTGCTTGTCCAGGACGATCGTCTTGTGTCGCACGCAGCACCGCCTGCCGCGACGCGACAGCTCTGCGAACAGCACACACGCCTACGCGTAGCCAAGTCTTCAAGAGAAAGTTACAAGAAACGTCTAAAAAAAGCAGGATACACCACATGGCTTCGGTAATAGTGGGTCTTGGCAGCCATCAACGTGACGATGCGGAGAACTTGTGGGTTGCGGTTGAGTGATCAATGCAATACTATTGCATGAGGTCACGGTGATGTGGATCGAGTCAGGCCCTCTCGTCGACTAAGGAAATCCTCTCCGCTGCACCTGCCTGCCGAAGCGTTGGGATTCTGATTTGATCAGGCTTTTACCAAGCTCTGCGGATGTTCCTGCCAAGTGTGAGCCAAGTGAATAATGCACGTGTTCCATGCCCGCACCGCCATCGATTACGTGGTGGGCAGTCGCACGTCGTGTGAGGCTGTAAAGGCGGTATGACTTTGTTTCTATATTTGCAGGAAACTTGCATTAATATCGCATGTCAACCAAGGAAAAAGCTGAACAGGCCTGCAGCCTACATCAACATAGAAGCGTACAAAATAGGTGACCTAGCGCGGATGCAGGCTCTAGGCCTGTTTAGTCTTTTTACTGTATGAGATGGTCGCATGGAAATACAGTGGCCAGGGAATAGCAAGAAGAGTGAATGTTATTACCGAAATATAACAACAGAGATGGTATCTTGAGGCGCCGCTATGCTACATGCTATGTGAAATGGACATAAGTGTCTTTCGGACGGTCAGTACAACGCCAAATCCCATGACAGTTGCCTCTAAGGGACAACTTCGAAAGAGCCCTGATCCTGTGCGCCGGTGCGACACGCCATGCTGCAGAGCTTTGCTCTGCAGAAAGCTACGGGCGGTTGATCAACACCGGCGGCGGGTATGAGTCGTGGCTGTGCGCATGGGAGTCATGCTGACCTACGAAGAAACTCGTTTCTTATGAGTTGCACCTAACGCTCAAAGTCTACACTGAAAACGTACATCTGCTGTGTTCGACATCGACACATCATCGAGCACAGCAAGGTGTACATCTCCAAGGTGTACATCTCCAAGGTGCGCGGGTACAACTCATAAAAACGAGCTTCTTCGTATGGGAGAGCCTTTGGTGACCACCTGTGTAGGAGACGAAAGCCGAATCTCGGAATTGTCCGGAAAGCTCGGGACTTCACGAAGCGATGTCGGGTGCTTTGCCGCCGCTGGGCGTAATGGGCCGCGACCCTGACACGAAGCCCCGTGATCCTTTTCTAGGCGCTGACTGGACAGGTATGCGCATGGCATCCTCTGGCTTAAGTTCTCCAGTAAGCCACTGACCCATGTGCGTTTGCCACCTCCTGAGATCCTCTGCTTTCGTTGCTTCTCTTAGCCTCCTATGCCGCACCAGTCTCTCGGCAACCTGTTGAAGAACAATCTTAGGAGGCCGGTATTCAGTCAGGCCTCCTGGACTAGCGATAGTATCTCTCTCAAGATATGCTCTTGTCGCTTCCTCCATGGTTGAAAGGGTTTTGCCACCAGGAACTTCTTTCCTTTCGTTTGTTTGGGGGTTCGTCCATGGTCCCTTCACCCAGTTGTCGAGTGGTAGGCCTTCAAGCCCTTTGTCGACATTTAGGCGCTTATACCATCGATGCTCTCCTTTGGCTATTGTTCGCATCATTTTATGACGGTCTTCGCCCTCGGTGTATTTGATCAAGACATTTTTGAAGACAGCCAACTTCTCGCTCCACTTCTGCAGCGCCTTGACTTTACCCAACGGGCCAGGCCAAACTGCCGCGAATCCGTCATTCGAGGTATCTGGTCTTCCTGTTCCGATAGACAGCAACAGTCCTGGCTCCGTGTCGTCGCCCTTCAGCGAGGCGTGTTCACTATATGCAGCGTAGGAGGGGTTGTTCTCGCGAATTCCTCCATCCTTGAAGCTCATGCGCTTTCTATTCTTGCCGCTGCCAATGTCGGCTGTGAGCATCTCGAAGTAGAAAGGAGCTGCTGAAGTGGCCCGCGTCACCTGCCATATCTTCAACTTGTCGGCACCGGCGTTGTAAGACGTAACCCAAGGTGGAGCGATATCGGGGTCGTATTGATGGTTGTATGAACGGAGGAGGTAGGCTTCGTCGATTTGGCCGGAGTGGGTGGCAGTGAGGCAAATTGATTGACATATCCGCTCTGTTGGCTTGCCTCTGACTGAAGGCGCACCACCACTCGACCACGTAGTCGAGCTCTGCAAGGAGCCTATCCCTGACTCATTCAATGGCACTCTTGCCGATGTATCCTCTTCCTCCAGAACCCATGGGTGCCAGTCATCTCCTGTGCATTTATTGTGCTCCTTACAGTACTGCTTCACGATATCTTGCACGGCCTTCTCCAACGGCTCGTGGTGGTATTTGGTAGCAAGCGGCAGCACGCTCCTTTTATGTCCAAACAGCTCGTGTCCAACCCTGCGGTATAGTTCGAGACACTGTGGTACACTCATTCGTAATCTAGCCAGCATCACGGATATGAGGCCGCCTGTACTCGTTCCGTACATGTAGTCGAAATAATGACATGGCAGTAGCTCGTTTTCGTCGAATTCGTGTCGTTCGCTGCCTTCTACGGGGCTTTCGTCTGCTTGTATTCGGCGTTCGGCTTTGGCGATTTCGTGCATGAGGCGTTGGATGATGAGGAGGCTCGAGTAGCCGCGAATGCCACCCCCATCTATCGATCATGTTAGTATCTGCGATTTAAGGAAAACGCCGAGCACCCTATAGCCTACGTTGACGTTGTGTCGCCTACCTTGCATGTTTCCATGTTGATGTAGGCTCTACATCAGCATAAAAACTTGCAAAGTAGGCGACACAACGTCGATGTAGACTCCTGGCCTGTTCAGCTTTTTCCTACGCGGACGTGGACATACCTAGCGTGAGTATCAAATCCTCCCAGCAATTCTCTTTGGTGACGTTCATCTTCCAGGTTTCTCCAGTCTTGTCCTGCTGGGTCGCACTGGTACCCGTCGTCCTTATACTCAGCGGCCTCGAGGCCGGCTCGGGGGGTTGCAACATGACGGCGCGCTTGCTGTGTTCAGAACAGGTCTGCAGACTACATCAAGCTAAAAACTTGCAAAGTAGGTGACCCAGCGTCAACGTAGACTCCAGGGTATTCGGTTGTTTCCTAGGTGGGCGTGCGATCGCGGTTTGGGACCTAAGGTATGGAGCCTTGCACAAATCGCGCACTGATGATCAGGGCGTGGATGTAAGGATGTAACGCAGACGGATCGACGCAGGATAGAGTGGATATAAGACTGCGGAGAGCCTCATGACAGCTCTCCAGGGCTGGCGCGTTCCTGCAAAGGGCGCGACGGTCTGCTGCAGGCTGGTGGATGGGTGGGTCCCGAGGTCGCGGGAGTGGCTGACTCTGGCCTAGCGAAGGGACTCTGCGAATATGACCAATTAGGGGATCGGATTCGCGACAGAGCCACTGCTAAGCCTTTGGGGTCCAATAAAGCGCTGGGGCTTGTTTCTGATGGCGTTGTAACCCTTGAGGTTTGTTATGACGGAGTGATCAGGGGAATGATAAGTTTGTGTGACGGTAAATAGAGCGATGAGATCCGCCGGTCCTCCCGCAATCCTACCCAGAGTTTGGGATCGCGATAACTAGAGTGTGACTTTGCTGGTATCCGAACAGTTTGTTATGCAGGCATGCAGTTTCGCGTTGTTGCCTACGCCGAGCTGAAATCTAGGGCGGTGTACGAGTAGGCGGAAAGGCATTGCTCCAAGCTGCAGTCCTCCTCGAGCAAACCAGAGCCTCCAGGGGTATGAAACGGAATCCAGAATGATGCTCCCTTGTGATACTGGTGATGGGCGAACGACTCTGTCGGACTGCGTAGTAAGAGCGAAGAACGACCGACAGAGTCACCTGAATGGCGTTCTGGGGTCACAGTGTCGCAGGTGATGTGCATTTGTATGCTTGCTAGTTCACGCAAGTTCGCCGTTGAGCAGTCCAAAGGCGATGAATCATAGGTATGTAGAGCAGTAGGATGAGTCAAATGGTCGATTTGGATTTGGATGGGTATTTGGTTGGGGATAGTCTCGGCATACTGGAAGGGTTCGTTTCTTGGTTCGTAGCAGGCTCTGCCGTTGGCCGACCGAGTTTCTCCTCACGAGACAACAGTTTTCGTCTCATGTTGTGCGAGACGAAAGAAACGCCACATGACCGAGGAGTTAGAACGCCCGTACTTTGCTTGTGTATAGCTCTTGCCTCAGGACCGATTCACTGCTTCGCACCAGGCCAATCACGGCAGTCTACAGCACAGCCGCATCGTGAACCAATCAGCGAGTGATTCGGCCGAGCCGGACATCATCTCAGCACAGCCACGGGGCGCGGCAGGTCCGTGTGCTACGCCCGCCCAACGCTCTCTTGCGACCCAGGCCATCACCCCACCGGCTCTTGCTCTGTATTTCCACTCACACGACTGACCACTGCCCTCGCCTATACAAGCACCTTCCACCAGTTTGTAGGACCGCAAACATTTCTCAAGCGAGACAAGCACCCACCCAACCTTCACCGTCCTCCACCATCACCGCCCACGGCAGCCCTATCCTCGCCTATAGAGACGTCTCAGCCTCACCCTATCCGGAACCGAACCGAAGGAATGTTACAGGAAAGCATGACGTTCAAGTCGGAGTCGACGTCTGGCACCACGTCCAGTAAGGCGAGTAGCCTGTTCGACCTGGACCAGAACGGCGAAAAATCTATCCTCGTGTACAAGTATCGCTCAGGCGCAAAGGGCCTAGAGGTCAAGACTGAGCGTGATCTTTGCACTGAACTCGACCAAGGTAAGTCCTCTGTAGTCTGGTGGTGTGACTCCAACTAAAGGCAGCAACCAGATCCGTCATTACCCTTCATACGCGTCACAAAGAAGCCTATACCGCGCGGCAACAGTCGGCTTGACATACTCAACGAAGACCTACTCGCCCCCTCGGAACGCGAAAAGTACGCAGAGAAGCCTACGCTCAAGGCTTCCGTCGCAAATGTGGGACTGCCCACGCTCGCCAAGTGGAAACACATGATATTGGGCAGCTACGACGATCTCTATATCGTCTCGCGCTCGCATACCTTGTCGCCTGAGGCGAGCAAAAACAACAGTCCAGAGTCCAGTCAGCACGTCAACTCGTTTCCTAGAGAAACGGTGCACAGCGATGATGCCTAGGTGCATCACAGGACTGAGCTGGATGCCGTTGGAACAGGCGGCTGGGCGATGGATGTCTGACATCTCTTGCGATGACAGTGACGCTCAGCCTTCACATGACTGCACGCTCGTTACACGACTATACGTTTCCTACCTATCATTACGCGATACCCAACGAGCTCGGCGCTGGATGGAGTTTACATTGTTTTGGTTTCCTTTGTCCTTATGTTGTCTGTCGCTGTAGAGTAGGAACGAAAGTATGTCGCACTCCTCCCGTTTGGTAGTGTGTAACTCTTAATAAGACAACCATGATCTTTAGCTGCTATCTTAATGTACATGGAACTGAACAGTGAAGTTTCAAGCCACCCCTATGTAATGAGTGCTTTTCAGCGCCGAGGAATGAACCGCTGCAAGGGTAGGTTGTCGAGAAACCAACGTCATCACACGTTTGATTCGCTTCTGGCGCATATGCCTGTCAAAGTTCGCAGGAGCGACCTGACCCAACAGGGAAGCGGCGTAAAGCTTTTCTCTCCGTGTTGCAGCGAAGGAACACACTGGCTGCATTGTTTGTATACACGTGGGTGGCATCGGACCTTCTAAATGGCTGGGCGCAACGGCAGACCCATCTACGGCTCGTCCAGACGGCACTAGCACACGAAGGCCCACCAGGCCTGCACATGCAAGCGGGGAGCTTCACTCTTGGGCCCGGTCTCAGCGCGCTGGGGCCCTGCATCGACTTCTGAAGCTTCCGCCGCGAGCCCATATTGCTAACACTCCCATTCAATCGCGCAGTTGAACGCCTTCGAGGTCTGCAATTGCCCGCAACTCGCCCAGCATGAGGTTCGTAATCCCAGCAATGCACCCGCGCATGCGCCCTCCAATCGTCGCACGGCGGGTGATGTCAACGGAAACTAATGCGCGTGTCCAGGTTCGGTCAACAACTCAAGCAGTCGCTCAACAAGGAGTGGATCTTCTACTACATCGACTACGAGGGCCTTAAGAATTCTCTACGCGTCCACCACATCTGGGATGAGAAGTCGGAGCAGAGCTTCGTCGAGCAGCTCGAGAAGGAGCTCGACAAGGTCTACACGTTCCAGCGCGTCAAGGCCGAGGAGATTATTCGTCGCATAGCAGCGTCCGAGAAGGAAGTCAACGACGCCGTCGCGCGCGCCCAGCAGGACCCCCAGAACGCCGCCAACTACGAGGAAGACTTCGATCTGCTCGAGGAGGACCTGAGCGACATTATCGCCGACGTCCACGATCTCGCCAAGTTTACCCAGCTCAACTACACGGGCTTCCAGAAGATCATCAAGAAGCACGACGTATGTATTGCATAGTTCGCATTGAATCAGAGCTAACTGAGTGTAGAAAAACACCAGCTGGTTCCTCAAGCCCGTCTTCGCCGCTCGTCTGAAGCGCAAGCCCTTCTTCCAGGACAACTACGACTCCTACGTTGTCAAGCTCTCGAGACTCTACGACATTGTCCGCACGCGAGGAAACCCGGTCAAGGGCGATGCATCCGCTGGAGGAAAGCAACAGAACTTCGTGCGCCAGACGACCAAGTACTGGGTGCACCCGGATAACATTCTGGAGCTGAAGCTCATCGTCCTCAAGCACCTGCCTGTGCTTGTGTTCAACCCCAACAAGGAGTTCAACGAGGAAGACTCTGCCATCACATCCATTTACTTCGACAACACCGAAACATGGGAGCTATACCAGGGCCGTCTGAAGAAGACCGAGGGTGCTGAAGCTATACGTCTGCGATGGTATGGAGGCATGTCGAGCGACACTATCTTCATTGAGCGTAAGACGCATCGCGAGGACTGGACTGGCGAAGAGTCTGTCAAGGCGCGTTTCAAGCTTAAGGAGAAGAACGTCAACGCATACCTCCGCGGTGAGCTCAGGCCCGAGCAGATCTTCGAGAAGGAGCGCAGGGAGCAGAAGAGGCCCGAGAAGGACATCGCTTCTGACGAGCAGCTGGCCCGAGAGATCCAGTACCGCGTACTTACCCGCAAGCTCGAACCCGTTACACGCTCCTTCTACCACCGCACCGCTTTCCAACTTCCCGGCGATGCTCGCGTTCGTATCTCCCTCGACACGGAGCTTACCATGACTCGCGAAGACAACCTGGACGGCAAGAGGCGTGCTGGCGACAACTGGCGTCGCATGGACATTGGTGTAGACTGGCCATTCAAGCAGTTGCCTAAGGAGGACAAGGAGCTTTTCCCGTATGCTGTGCTCGAGGTCAAGCTTCAGACACAAGCTGGAGGAGAGCCACCGCAGTGGATTCGCGACCTCACGTCTTCCCATCTTGTCGAAGCTGTGCCCAAGTTTTCCAAGTACATCCACGGCACAGCCACGCTGAATCCCAAGCGCATCAACTTGATCCCATACTGGTACCCGCAGATGGATGTCGACATTCGCAAGCCTGTTAGTCACAGGTTTGGTATTGAGCGCCCCGGAGCGAGCAACGACATCAGCACCAGCGGTAACCTCGATGACGATGACAGCGAAGACGAAGATGCCGTCATGGGTCTTCCTGGTGCGAACGGCAATGAGGACGATGACCGACTAAGGCGGCTGCGCGAGGCAAGGGATGTCATGGAGCAGAACGAGATGGAAAGAACCCGCGACTACGGCACTCTTACGAATGGCAACGATCCCAATGCGCTGGACATTGAAGAGCGTGTCGCCGCAGGACGCACTCGCGACGAAGATTACCCCATCTACGATTCTGACAGCGACGACGAAGATGAGGAGTACGAAGCAGCCAAGAAGCAGGGAGGTCTCCGCTATGCGCGGAAATGGGTAGAACGCACTGCGACCAACGTGGGCTCAACATTGCTTTCGACAGTCGCCACGGTTATCCCCAAGCCAACTCCTACCGACGTTGGTGAGGGAGGTTTCTCCCTTGGTGTACCCTCATGGAAGCAAAAGGGGGAGGTGAAGAGGTTCAAGGCTCCCAAGGGCAAGCGTAAGTCAATCCAATCATCTCATACTGCCAGCCCGAACTAACATAATATCAGGCATCCACGTCCCCGTCCGCGTCGAACCCAAAGTCCAACTAGCCACCGAGCGCACTTTCCTCTCCTGGCTCGAATTCTCCATCCTCATCGGTTCCATTGCGGCTACACTGCTAAACTTTGGTGACCCCCTTGCTTTTGCGGCTGCGTGGGCGTTTACCATCATCGCCTGTATCGCGCTCTGCTACAGTGCAGGCTTGTACCTGTGGAGAGTGAACAAGATCAAGGAAAGGAGAGCGGTTACGTACCACGATCGCTGGGGACCTACGCTGCTCTGCTTCGGACTGTTCTGCGCTGTTGCCGTCAGTTTCGGATACAGATTCGGCAAGGGTGGTGTTGATGGTGGGTTGAAGGGTGATATCAAGGGGTGAGAGTGTTGGGATATCGGAACAAATACATAGCTGATGGGGTTCGACGTTTTGAAGTGGTCACGACTGATGGATGGACGGTTTCGAAGGTGACGGGAAAGATGGGAGTGATGCATTATTGGCGTTACGTGTACAAAAAAAGTGTACATAATAATGGGTATTGTTGTACTTTTGACTGATGCTGTAAACCGTTGCAAGGAGCCATCCGATGGCTTAAACCAGTGACACCGAAAGAAGGGATTGCATGCACGTGTTGTCTCGCGCATGGGCGGAAGGTATAAATTGCTCTCGCCCAAGGCCCTGCTTCATGTCTCCTCTGTCACACGTTACTCTTTTTCCATAAAAAAATCACGAGAGCATAACCCATGTCTCTTCCGCTGTTTCCAAAAAGCACAGGAGGCGAGACCATGGTCAGCCTTGCCTGCTTCAGTTGCGCCAAAAATACCAGATCGATGGCGCATGTCTGCATCTGGACACTACGCTGGCATAACTCAAAGCCGCCCTGCACAGAAGACATGTTGTTTCCCGCCCTGAGAAAGCGCGACGCTACCTACGCAGTATCCGCCTGCCTCTTCTTGTCAATGTTGCCGAGAAAGCACGCATGTCTGGGAAACGCTTAAAGTGCATACATCACTATGAAGAGTACCCAGGTCTTCGTCTTTCGACTTCGTGTCTACATTCCAGCCTTCTGCTCTTACCCTTTCCAAAAACAATTGAAGACCTCAATATGTCTGTTTCTCTCTCAAAATCGAAGCCTACTTTGACATGTCTTTCTTTGAGCTTTCGGTATCGAAAAGAACACAATTGCGCAGCATGAGCAATGGTCTGCCTTTCAAAAGATCAACAGATACGAGAAGATGTTTCTCTGTGAGCATTCGGCTTCGAAAATTCTGAAATCAGAACCGATGTGCCGTCCCTATCCGCTCTGGCGCTCAAGATCAATGAAGCTCAGAAACAGGGCATGGAGATTGAGTAAGAAGAGGCGGTAACCGAAAATTCACATAGCATGTAGCATGAGTGCGGAAGGAGATATGCGAGCTGGGGTATAAAAGAGGTCCTTTTCTCTGGGCATACCTAGGTACATCCTCCTTCCTCATTCACCTACCTGCTTTGGGGTTGTCACCAAAAGGCTATACGAATCTACAAATGTGTGTTCTTTCCTAAAAACGACGACGACTACGACATGATTCTGCGCGCTCGCTGTTGCTTGGGTATTTACTTGGTGGCATTTGTGTTCGAATTTTGTATCTCTTGGGTGGTCTCGCAAAAAGCATTTCGTGTATGTGATGACCTCGGGAGTCTCTCGGTGGACGATGAGGGACAAGGAATCACCGGGAACTTGGAGCGCTTGTCTACCAAAAGAGTGTAACAGGATGTTCATGGAATGAAAAGAAGACATCATCTGCATTCTCCAGGTTTCGTATCCCTCATTAAACGACTTTCGCTATCCACCCCTCCACTTAGTACTTCGGCTTAAATGGCAACGTAGCCATAATCGTCCCCACCTCCGCCTGTAAGCTAAACAACTTATACAGCCACTTGATAATAACAAAAAAGCTCTCCGGCTCGCCCATATGCTTGAACCCCTCCACAAACCGCGCTTCCTTCGGCGCCCCATGCATCAACGCAAGATAATAGTCGTCAATCGGGAAAATCTCATCGTCAGTCCCATTCACCAGCAGCAACCTCGCACACTCCTGCTTATCCAGCGTGCCATCATTCAGCAACGAGAACTTGCTCATGGCCTCCTTCTTGAAGGCCTCGACGTCGTTGCCATAGCCCCATTTGTAGGCCAGTGTGTTGGCGAGGTCGAAGGGGTACTCGAGGTGATTTACATTATCCAGCCATTCAGGGGAGAACATGTGGTGGCAGCCGCCGCCGAGAGCCACGACGCCCGCAAGCTTAGAAGCGTGTGTATGCGCGACGCGCATGGCGTAGTAGCCGCCTGTGCTGAAGGCCCAGATAGCGATTTTCTTTGCATCGAGACGCGGTTGTGTGGCTACCCAGTCGAAGAGCGAGCTGTACAGACGGTCTGGAGACGTTGGGTCGGACGCCGTGGCTGGACAGTCGCCTGTGCCGGGTATCTCGAGGACGATGGTTGCGACGCCGACACGGCGCCAGCCTTCCATCCATACCGCTAGTTCGGTGCGGTACCCGTCTAGTCCGGTGAAGATGACGAGGGTGGGTACGGGGTTTTCTTTCGAGGCGCTGTCTGGGACAAGGTGGTACACGGGTATGTGTTCGCCTTCGTCTTGGTTGCGGTGTTTGTGTGGGATCATGACTTCGTGGACAGGGTGTTCCCGCATTCCCAGGCCTTTGATGCATACTTCTTTGCCTAGTCTCCAGGCTTCACGTTGGACTTCGCTGCGTGGTGCTGGGAAGCGGCTGATGCGGTACACGGCGCTGGATCGTAGGTAGTACTCTGATGCTTTCTCTTTTTCGCCATTCTTCTCGGCTTCTGCGGCTATGGACTTGAGCTTTTCGGCCTGTGGGAAGTAGATTTTGGCGTATTCGTCCCAGTTGTAGGGCTCTTTCATGTCTTTGGATACCATCTCTTTTACTATCGGCTCGAAGTCGGAGGCTGTGCCGAACATGAAGGGGTAGACGCCCATTTCTGCCTATGGAGAATCAGTTGTGAGATCTTCATGTATGTAGTCTGAGTGGCCGGTGATAAACATACAGGCTTCTTCCACTTCGTCTCCCACAGCTGCTCATAAGACTCGTGGTGCTTCGCCGGCGTCTTCAGCTTCTCCTGGATGAAGAACTTGCCCCCTGGTGCCGCCATATTTGATATAGTCTTCCTCTCGATGTAGTGTATATCTAACTTCTTAGTACGACGCAATCTGTATCCGGAGATGTAGCAACGCGTTGACGGAAGGTGGACGGTTGAGATGAAGATGCATCAGTATTCGATTCGAGTATCATATATAAGCTGCCAATCTATTCATAGGCCTCCCGCTCGGCACAAGTTCACGTACGCCGATAATGTTGCGGCAATGGTGTCGCGGTTCACGGTTCGGGCATTAAACGTTGCGGCAGGGCCCGCGGGCGGGGAGCCGAAAACTGAAACCCATTGTCCACATACAGCACGCGATCACACTGTCTTGTTATACTCAGAAATCGGCCCCGGTCTCTCGTCACGAATAAAACACGCGACCATGCCTGCACTCGTCCAAGAGAGTGCCTATTATATACGAAAAGGCTCTTTCTCCTCTTGGAGTTGTCCTTCACGTCGCAAATCACCCAAAGGTATTCTCTGTATTCCGACCAAAGCGTTCGCAGAAAGTGACTTGGTATGTATCGCTAGGGTACATCACAAGAACACTGTCAATTCGGGATTTGAGTTTCTTCGTCCGTCCCAGAGTCGTTCATGTTTTCATATTCAGTTGTCTAGATCTGACACATTCGTGAAACATGGCTCATGATCCGTACCCATTCCTATGATTGCCAAACCACCCCATACGCCAGTAATGCTACGTTGAAACTATTTGTGTGCTGAATTGCATTAGCCAACTTCAATTACATCAGACTAAGATGGACTTACGAATGCCCTCAGTGGGCTTGGGCGTTACATCGACGACCTCCGCTGCGGGCGTCTTGACCTCGATAATGTCCTTCATGAAGGGGAAGGTGAGCACCTCCTTGATGGAGTAGTGGTCGGTCAAGAACATGACTAGACGGTCGATGCCCATACCCCAACCACCGGTGGGTGGCAGACCGTACTCGAGCGACTGACAGAAGGTCTCGTCAATGAGCTGTGCTTCGTCGTCACCAGCCGCCTTCTGGTTCGCTTGCTCTTCCTATGTACATGTCAATATGCGTCTCCTCAATGCAAGTATCTGGAACTTACGAATCGCAGACGCTGATCGAAGGGGTCGTTCAGCTCAGTATAAGCGTTGCAGATCTCCTTCTTGCATACAAAGGCCTCGAAACGTTCGCAGAGACCAGGGATATCGCGGTGGTATTTAGCAAGTGGCGACATGACCTCGGGGTGACCGATAATGAATGTAGGGTTGATAGCAGTCTCCTCGATGAACTCACCAACCAACTTATCAATCATTCTTGAGTTGGTGCGAGGTTCTGAGCAGTCGACCTTGACCTTCTTGAGTACATTCTTGAGGAACTCGTTGGTCTCGGCAGTGTGTAGTTGATCCGCTGGTGGGAACTTCTCGCCGGTGGCCTCCTCCAATGCCGGGATCATCTCGACTCGCCTCCATGGCCTTGCCCAGTTGACGTTGTAGACCTCGCCGCTCTGAGTGTGGTAGACGGTCTCGTATCCGCCTGTGACCTCCTTGACCAGCTCGCTGACGAGCTCCTCGGTCATGTTCAGGACGTCGTTGTAGTCGGCGTATGCCATGTAGAATTCGCAGGTGGTGAACTCGGGGTTGTGGGTAAGATCGATACCCTCGTTACGGAATTGACGGCCGATCTCGTATACCCTCTCCAGACCTCCAACTACAAGCTCCTTGAGGTATAGCTCGGGCGCGATACGCATGTAAAGCTCCATGTCGAGTTCGTTGTGGTATGTCTTGAATGGTCGCGCAGTCGCACCACCAGCAATCTTGTTCATCATAGGCGTCTGAACTTCCAGAAAGTCCCGTTCGTCGAGGTACTTGCGAACAGCCTTGATAATCCTGCTCCGAGTGATGAAGGTGTTGCGTGTTGAGTCGTTCATGATGAGATCGAGGAATCGGTTGCGGTGGCGTTGCTCCTGGTCCTTGTAGCCACTGTGTAGTATTAGTATCACCATTGCTGAAGTTCTGAGGTGAACTCACAAGTGCTCCGTCGGCAACATCCTCAAGCAGGGGGTGAGAAGGATCACCTCGCGCGCGAAGATGCTCAGCTCACCCTCACCACCCTTCTTGGGGCTGGTGCGACCTGGGTATCCGATGACACCGATGATGTCTCCTCGCTGGATGTTCTCATGCTGCTTCTCGAAGGGTACGTCGGCCTTGGCTTCCTGCAATTGACACATGACCTGGATGTTGACACCCTCAGCCTTGCCTAGACATCATCAGCTATAGGATATCGGTGTATCCAGTATACGTACAAACGTAGAAGTGCAGCGCGTTGGAGGCAGAGCGCTGTGTCATGACGCGGAGACCGATGCGAATCTCCTTGTCGGGCTCAGTCTCTCCCTTCTTGAGGTGCGAGTAGTCGCGAACATAGTCGGCGAGCTTGTAGTTGGTGTGGAACTTGTGCGGGTACGGGTTGGGTTGCTTGGAGGCGCGGAGAGCGTTGATCTTGTTAGACCGGATCTCGAAATATTGCTGCAGTTGGTGAGTAACCAGATTAGTTGAAAGAGGCAAGTTCGATGCGCACGTTTGGGTTCAATTCCTCGACATCGTCTTTCTTCTCCTTCTTGGGCCGCGCAGGTAGCGACGCCTCCTTCTCCTTCTTCTTCTCGTCCTTCTCGCGCTGCTTCTGGCGACGCTTCAGTTCACTCTTGGAGATTTTCTCGCCGGTGACTGGGTCGGTGTGCAAGTCCTTGGTCTCGGCAGCCGGTGGCTGTTGTGCAGCTTGTTCGTCGGCCATTGTTGCGATGTTCGGTGGTGCTCGTGTGGGCTGCGCGACGAGATATATGCCCCGCCAACTTTTTGATTTGACTCACCCCGCCATTGACTGGCAACCCACGGGAACAAAGTTTTTCCATCCGGCTATGGAGACTCATACCTCACATCACCGCTGCACTCTTCTGTGATCATGAATGCTACTGTAGACATGGTGCCTGCAGCGTTGCAGGCATCGCACGTGTATCAATTCACCCGGTCACCCCGCATGCGACAAATGCTAGACAGGTTTTCGTCATTTCGATCTGAAACACGAGACAGCCATAGCAGTTGTCAACTATTCCAGATTTTCAACAAAGTTCGAGGTAGTATTTGTAATGCAACCTTCGGTTAAACTGTGTTACAAATTACAACACAGGGTGTCAGGCTTGACCAACACCATAGTACTTCTTATCTGACTTACTCGAAGATGTCCGAACAGAACTTCATCGTCATCCTGACTCTACCCGACGAGCCCACGATAAGGGGACAGTCCACACGGTCCATGCCCGAATATAGCCCCCAAGGATCTTCTAGTGGCCGCAATATGCGCAATACGAAGAAGACGCGCAGCATTGGGCATCTACGGCAGCACATCTTGCGTCACCTTAGCGACGGGATGAACAGTGGGAACAGATCATCTCGAGACCCTGTGAATCCCAAGATGCTGCCACGGGAGGACCCTGTGTTCGCCACTCTTGACAGCTGTCGATGTTGGGCTTCTAATATCCGGGCCAAGTCCGACCGATACTCTCTTCTCCGCTTTCTGACGCGCAAGCAATGTGAGTTTTCTTAGGCAAACTCCTGGGTGGAACCTTGATTGCTGAATTTTTGACGTAAATTCTTACCTTGTGGCCGTCCATCCACGGTCGTGATGCTGGCCCCGAGAACCTCCTGTTGAAAAGCCAACTCATCTCCCCGCAATATCATCAAGTCTAGTAAGACGACTAGAAATAGTTACCATGGGAATCATAGACAGGGCGACAGTCCAGCAGATGTTACCACAGTGACTGAACAGGGCGACAAGCCACATGGCCTTGACAATAATCAGAGCCACGAAGTAGCGAACCTGAAACACGCGTTGAAACATCAAACTTGGGGTATCATAAGGCTGATGCCCGCTGCAGGTGCGGCTAAGGCTGGCTGCAAGACATGTCGCTGTATGCCCATAGCGCGTTTCTCCTTTGAATACCGAGCCAAACTCTGTCGATGCAATGTCGCGTCTTGCGGAACTGGTCAAGATGCAGGCTGCAGCAAATCTTGTGTTCAGGCGTGTTCAGGTTCATTCCACAGACCACTCTGTGAACTTCCTACTAAATTGAGGGCATGGTGTGATCCCGATGTCGGAAGGTAGTAATGATAGATGACTATGTGGACGTAGAAGGGGGAAGCGTGCGAGAGGCTAAGGCAGGTACGGCGATGATGAAACAGGAAAACATGGCATCCAGAGCGCGTTCCTGCAGTACTGTATGTTGAACGGTAGGCTAGCGGGGATCTTTCTAGTGGAATAACAATGAGGTCGCAGATGCGGCCACATGATGCAGATTTGCGAATTCGCGGTATTGGGAAGTTGTTTTTCACCATGACGCGATGATCTTGCCGCGTGACGGACGATGTCCACGTGCTTTTACGTCTGATCGATGAAGTAGGTACGATCCGTTACCGCACCTTCCCGGAGATTAGTGGTGAAGTAGTTGCAACCATCACGAAGCGTGGCCTCGAAGAAGGCCTCGTGAGCACGCTTCTCTCGAAGAGACTATCGAGCGGCACACGGTCCGCCTCCTAAAACCACTTACCAACAGCCCTTGCGAGGTTTTAGCGCGTATCATATCGATAGCTCATCCGCTCAGCGTTCACGGGATGGCTCTCACATCGAAAGCTGGGGGGGAGATCACAAGACTACGTCATGTGTAACCAGGACTCTCGATCCCGACGCCATGGGGATGGACGGATGGCTAGGTGCAGACCAAACATCATGAGCAAAACCCTCGATCGCAGCAAGCTGTGCGATCGGACAAAGTCGAGCCAGGGAGGGGAGTCCGGTTGTACGGCGCTGTTGACGCAAACAACGCGAAGACGCGTCTTGGGCAATACTCAGAATCAGCTGGAAGGGTCCTGATGACGACACCCATAAACTTTGCTCAGGCAGTCAGCTGAAACTGCAGGCAAAGCAATATGGACAAGCAGATGTTTCCTATGACTCGCAAAGCCTATCGATAGCTGAATAGGCGAAGATGCGTGCAATCGATAGGGAGGCTGCAGGCGAGCTGCAGAGGCAATCATAATGGGGAGGGCTAAGATTGTGACGCGGGCCGCCGAACTGGTGGCAGGCGGGCGCAAAGCTGGAGCCCCTATTCCGCGCGACTCGGCCACCCGATGGCATGAAGACGATAAGATTTGCTAATTTGGGCATAGAAGGGGGGATAGGTCGACGCGTGGTTCGAGCGCCCTGGTGCCGATACTGTGATTGGGGAAGATGCGGTGGTGGCGAGGATTTGGTGTTGTTTTGATTCTGCTTGTTGATCAACAAACACGGCATGTAAACACGCACACCTGAACGTGGCAAGAGCTCCGCAGCAGCGCCTCGCAGTGCAACAGACGTGCAGAGAGCTGGCAGCGGTGGAGCTTCGCGTGTCTAAATTTGCAGAGCCTACTCGGGTCGCCTCTATGACTGCTTCACTTTGTGCTGCAGACGTGGATTCGATTGGCAGGCAGGGCTAACGGGCTTCGCTGCAGGGCGTCACGAAGTAAGAGGCGGGTTGGGACGCACGGGCCCCAACGCCCCAACTTTCCTGCCACACGCCCGGCGAAAAGACACCCTGCACATGAGAGAACGCGTCTCTTCTCATATACCACTGCATTCCCAGCCGATCGCTATCGAGCGCAAGAAGGGTCTCTCCATCGCTCGATCGCTTGCACTCTCCCCTCGCCATTGCATCATCGCGTTGTGACGCGCCTGCCGTGTGTTGCGACTATACTTGCCTAACGTGCGGAGGTAAACACGCGACGCCTGCGCCCTCGCTTCCCCAGTACACGACACAGCAAATCACCCTCCGACACGCCGTCAACATCAACACGCTCTCTCCACCTCCAGCCATCCTTTCCCCACCAGGACCCTCCATCACCAGGCCTTGTATGGAGCACCACCGGACTTCGGCCGTTGCTTGTTGAAGGTGGAATCACGGAACCCGGCCAGCATCGAGCACTACGCCATCGCGCGCCTGCCGACGACATTCCACGCATTCATACCACGGTCCGCATCCACCACGCGCCAGCAGGACTACCGCGCCATCGCTATCGACTGAAGACTGCACTCATCTCCATGCCCTCTGCGCCTGCCTAAAACACGTCAACACGTCACGGAGACATCGCCGCCCGCCATCTGCCCGTCTCATCCCAAAACATCCCGACTCACTCCAGACGCCCCGGTCACGAGCAAAACTCTGCACTGAGCTGCTCTCACTACGCGCGCCATGGATTACGGATATTCGCCCAGTCGCGAATGTGGCACCATGCACTTTCCCTCACCAACCGGACCCCACAGCTACCGACTCGACAGCACCCACTTCTCCCACCTCCAGGAGCTCCGCCGCTCTCTGTCGCGCTCACCCTCCAAACAGTCGCGCTTCCAGCTCCGCAACTCCGACACGCCCCGCTCTCCCATCTCGCCCCTCGCCATTGCGCGCGCATTCTCTCCCAAGGCGAACAAGGTTACCAGCCCCATCGCCAACTTCCCTGAGTCACCACTAGCGCAAGCTGCACCGGCCAAGAAGAAGTTCTCCTTGCGACGCTCAGGCCCTTTCCGGTCATCGCCGCGCACGCGCAACAGCAACTCCAAGAGTCCCCGGCGACGCGCCTTGGCCGAGACTTCCGACGTGGGCAACGCGACGCCCTTCATTACGCGACACTCGCCCGGCCAAGAAAACATCCCCGCGCGACGCCCAAGCGCAGAGTCCCCGGACACCATGGACATGGACAAGCGACTAGAAGTCGACGACAAGCCCATCAAGTTCGAGTTTGCGCGCCGCCCCGAGCTGTCGCCCGCGCCACCAGCAAAGTCGAGCCCACTCAAGCGCAATGACGGACTGATGAACCTCAGCGGTTCGCCCGGATCCAGTCCCATGGCAAAGCGCCGGAGCCTGCACGGCGTGTCGAGCCTCGGAAACGACTTCGAGAGCATATTCGACCCGTCCCCCGCACCGCGCATCTCTGCCGATGAGAGCTCGCGCTTGTACAATGACATGACGAACGGCTTCTCCTTCAACAGCTCACCTATTTCGGGTGCGACATCACCAGTCCGCCGCACAACGTCACTGCGCAGGTCGACCCTATCACAGCGATCCAACACCCCGCGGAAGCCGAGCAACGATGGCGAGTTCGCAATGCCTGGGCCGGCTGCCTCCAAGACGCGCAACCGCATGTCCCTCGACAGCACCGTCAACTCAGCCACCCAAACACCACCCGTCCAGACGCCTTTCCGCAAGTCTACCTTTGACGCCGGGCGCATGGGCTTGCCAACGCCATTCCCCCGCGGAGCCGGTGCAGCACAGCCGCACCCGCTCTCACACGCGCATACTCCATCTTCTGCTTCATCCAGCCTGAGCGGCACACCAATGGCTCCTCCCCGGGCTCCAGCCGTTCAGTGGGGCGGCCCTGCATTCCCCCCGCCTCCGATGCCCAACAACCCACACTTCTCTCGCTCACTTCCCATCGGTATCGGGCGCCCACATGCCCCAGATGGCGAGCAGTCGACGCAAGACTCGTTCGACACGCCCTTCAAGATTGCGCCACCGGCACCTGTCGCCTTCTCGACCGGCCTTCTGTCCAAGAAGAACCGCAATGCGGATGAGCCAGCAGCAGGAGGCATCTATGTCATGCCCGACACGCCATCCAAGCGCCAGTCTTTCCCCCCTGCCGCAGCAGACCGCACTGTCAACCTTGACACACCCTTGGTCAAGAGGAGTGGCAGTCTCTTTGGCAATGAAG